ACCAGGGCTCCCTGGAGAAATGGCTGACTCTAGGACTGGAGCAGGAAAGATACAAGATGAGCCTGGAATATCTCATAGTGCAACAAAATAAGGAATAATTTCTTTCAAGCACCCGACAATAATGGGATATGTCAAAAGGATATAAGAGCCAATCGGAAGAGCTCCCAGTAATAGCCAACACTGGAAAAATTTGAGCAACAAAATATCGAAGTATAACCCAAAATATAAGAAAATGCTTAGAAATATCCTTGAGTCAGTACTAATATAAATAGAGATTGAAAAGATAAAGTAGACTAGAATAAAAGAGTAGAATGGAGTAGAATAGGACAAATCTCCCATGCAGAAGAATTCCAAATAGCTTATGTAGACCCCCATCCTCAAGGAGGGAGGAGGTGGAGCATAGCTCCCACTCCTTAAGTGTGGGCTGCACATAGTGACTTCTTTTCAAAGAGGACGCTGTGGAAAGAGGGGTAGAAGAAGAGTAACTTTACAGTGGAGAAAGCTGACAAATACTGCTTCAGGCAGGTCATCAAGGTTCACGTCAACAGTAATATAGACATGTTGATAGATTGTACCCTTGATATGATATAATAAAAAATGCACTTTACCTCTGTCTTATTCCTCCCTAGAACTCCTAACCCCAGTCTAATAATAAGAAAAACATCAGATAATTCCCAACTGAGGGAAATTCTTCAAAATACCAGACCACTACTCCTCAAAACTGTCAAGGTCACCCAAAACAAGGAAAGCCTGAGACACAGTGACAGCCAAGAGGAGCCTAAGGAAACTTGATGACTAAATGCGAAGTGGTAGCCTGAATGGAACCCTGGAACCTAAAAAAGGATATTAGTAAAAACTAAGGAAATCTGGATAAAGTAATTACTTTAGTTAATAATAATGTATGAATATCAGTTTATTAATTGTAGCAAATGTACCGTCCTAATTCAAGATAGTAATAATAGGAATGGGATGTGTTGTACAAGGGTGCTCTGTGTGCTATCTTTGCAACTATTTATAACCTAAAACTTCTAAATTTAAGAAGGTTTTTTTGTTTAAAAAATCATCCATGGACCCTAGCTGCTTTTGCTCAGTGGTTAGAGCATTGGCCTGTAGACTGAAGGGTCCCGGGTTCAATTCCAGCCAAGGGCACATACCTTGGTTGCAGGCTTGATCCCCAGCCCAGGTTGCGGCTCATGCAGGAGGCAACGAATCGATGTCTCTCTCTCACATTGATGTTTCTGTCTGTCTCTCTCTCTCTCTCCCTTCCACGATCTCTGAAAAGCCGTGGAAAAAATATCTTCAAGTGAGGATTAAAAAATATCACCCATGATCCCATAATCTAGCAATAGAAAGAAACATTTTAACACAGATTTTATTTTTTCCAGTGTCTGTTTTTATTTTTCAAAGTGGCTTCATGCTGTACATACTTTTTCATTTAACATTTAGTGGATGTATTTTGATGTCATTATAATTCTACAACATGATTTGCATTTACATTAGAATAGTTCATCTTAAGATGCATCACATATTTAGTCAATTATCCATTGCTGTCTTTATTCTTCTCGAATTCCATTGAATTTATTGGGGAAGGAGATGTGGGAAATGGAGGCTGTAAGAAGAGAGGAAGCAATTTTGACCTATTTGTTCATTATGAAAAACAGAGGGGTGGGCCTGGTCCAACGTAGCCAGGGAAAATGCAATGGGACCTGGTCATTGGTCTCAGCTTTGCAAATAACTTGGAGCATGATTAATCTCACTTAACCTCTAGAGTGCTTAGTGTCCTTACCTATAAAAGTAATTACATAATTTATTCGACTGTCCATTCCTAAAGTCTATGGGTATGTATTTTGCAAAAAGACCATTTTTAGAAAATTTCACGTATATAACATGACCGAGCATACTTGATACAAAAAAGAGGGTGCAGAAAATGGATGATACATACATTTCCTTTTTGTAATATAGCCAAAAACAATTTCCCATCATGTTGCAATATAATGGAATATATTATATGAAATAACATGAAGACCTGACAATTATGCGGAGGGGACGCTTCTCACTGAAGGAGAGGGAGGGCTAGGCTATAAATGTCGAAAGCAGGTTGAGTTCAGCTAATCACAAAGAGGGGGCTGTCAAAAAATAGAATGGGTTTCCTAGAAAAATGAGTGGGCTCTTCTTACATGTGGAGATTTTGCAACATGGTCTCAATGGAGAATCATCAGGATATTTTAGAAGCAATTCCTGCCCTTGGTAGGAATCAAACTGATGGTCTCCAAATTCACTTTCCATTTTAAAAGGCTAGAATTTTTCTTTAATTTTAGGTCTAACACTACCCTTTAGACTACTGCCCATAAGCACTGCCCCTGTTTCTGAGTTCTCTGCTGTCTCACTGGTCTCTAGATGACCAAAGAATAGATTCCACTAGCAAAAATAAAGGAGAATGTGTCCTTTGGTTTGCCTGTGTGCAAGGATGGGTAGCTCTCCAAGCATCTGATAAAGAGCAAGTCCTGTCACTGTCACTAAAGTGTGAAGAAATCATCTCTTGAAACTCAATCTTCTCTATGACATCACTGCAAAGAGAACAGAGACTTGGGGAAGCAGGTCTCCGGTTCACAATCAAACTTTAGAATTTGTCCTCAAGATTTCCTGCTATACTTTGCAGAACACAAACTTGTGAAAACCCTAATAGGTAAGAAATAACCCACGCAGAGAGAACTTATTAGTATACAAGCTTTTGAGGTTGATCCGATGCAGGTGACAGTTCCTCACCTTCACACTTTTGTGTACTGAGGGCGGGATCGTACCTGGTGAGAGTTTTCTTTCCTAAATGGTGAAGGTGACTCACTGTTTCACACAGCAAGCGACTCCAAGGTGCTTCCCCCTCCCCATCTAGCCCTCTTTATTCAGGCAAGAACTGTTTTCAGGGGTGCGAGGTGGAAGAAAAAATGGGGGAAGAACTGAAACCAGCTCTTAAGAACTTTTTGTCCTAAACTTCAAAAGTACAGAATGTAAAAGCAATATTTTATGAGAAGCCACATATTGCATGTGGATCCCCACTTACAGCGCGCGAGCGCGCGCGCGCGCGCGCGCACACACACACACACACACACACACACGAGGCTGCTCTTGGCAATTGCCACCCCTCCAATCTCCAGAGCAAGGAGGGGATCCCTAGAGCCCAGCGCGCCGCCGGGAGGATGGGGTCCCCGACAGCCCTCGCTGCAGCGCATCGTCTGCGGAACGACCGCGCGGAAGGGGTTGCGGGGGAATCCTTTGCACGCTCGGTGGTAGGTTAAAAATGCAGCATCATCCCCCCTGTTCCCTTTCTTCAGCCGAAAAGCAGAATTGGAGGGCACGGGGAACCCGGAGGGGCACATCTGGCTGCCGGCTGAAGGAGCTCCCCGCCCCCCCCTCC